TAATGAATCTGTTTCAGGTTACTAGCTTTGGGGACGATCTGGTCTGTGACAGCACAAGATTATATGGGCACATGTCCTTCCTAGTTTTCTACCTTCTTTCCACTTTGTCTGACCCGTGAGATCCTCTTCTTCCTACCTGTTAAATATTGGGTCCCCTGGGGTCCGCCCTGCTGTCATTTCAGGCACTGCGACACCTCCACGTTGGGTGCAGAATTTCGGAGGGGGCCGCGTGGAGGTGAGGAGACCAGTTAGGAGTCATTGCATTCCTCGCATTTCTTTAAGGCGTGTGTGCTGCCGGTGTCCTTCGTGGGCCTCACTGTGGCTGCCCCATCCCCCAGGACACCCAAGGCATCTTGGCCATCTGCGTCTCCGGATCTCCAGCACTGAGCACAGAGGATCTTGGTGAATGTGCAGTGACTGAATGAGGACCACACCTAGGGAGCAGGTCGGCCACCCTGCACGCAGAGGCAGCGGAAGCTGTCTCTCCTGTTCATCTTTGCTGGAACTAGCCGGGTCTGCGAACCCCAGATGAGGTTTACATGTGACCCTGCACGCCAAGCCTGGGTCCCCCTGGATGCCACTGGTCATGCTTCTCCGATCTGGGAGGCGCCGACCACTCTCTTCTTTCAAGACGCGTCCCCCCAAGCCCAATGTCCACCACTAGATTGCTGGCTTGAAAAAGGTGTAGGTCCTTCGGAAAATAAAAATTAAGGATATCAACATGCTCCCTTGCTATCCGCAGAGTCGGTGGCCCCCTTTATAAACTCCAGTCAGGGAAGACATGTCAAGGAAAGATGATTGTTTTTCTACAAATCTTCACTCAACTCTGAAATTTCTACTTCAGTGGATTTTGAAAACTCCAGAGGATCCCAGCAAGAAATTTTGTTGACGTCTAGAGCCTTCGCCCTGACACAACATACCTCTACTGGTCCTTACCTTTAAAGTGTAAATACAGTGTATCATTCAGTGCTGGGGTAATATAAAGCTTGTGTTGCTTGCAGAGTCTTTGCAGAAAACTTTTAGTCATTCTGTTAAGTGAACAAGAAATTGATTGCAATTTGTCAGTTGTGAAATATATTCCAAAACTTCTCTACACACCCATTTCTTCCTTAAATTTCAAAATAGCCTGCATGACTGATAACTTTTTTTTTTTTTTTGCCTGATAAACTATTTTAAATTCTTTTTTTGCATGCCTTTCAGGGCCTCATCCAATATCATTACTTTCAGCATTCTTAAAAATTGCAATGTATGTTCTAATAAAAATACTTTTAATAGTGTCATCAAGAACTACTGATGTTTCTCTCTCCAGGCCTGGCATTAAAGTTTAATAGCTTGTGGTTAGCTGTGTCAGAGAGGCAGAGCTGCTCTGACTCTGATACTGATTCTCAGACACTAGGGCAACTGTTTGATCTCTGGGAGCCTCAATTTCCTTGTCTATAGGAAGAGGTGAGGATACTACCTGCCTTCCTCGGTAAATGTGTGCTGTACTCGGCAGCAGCGTACCTGGGGCCACAGTCTTCCTTGTCATCTCTCTGGTGTGTGAAGTGACTGTCCGACCTGCTGTCACCGCTCTGTTTCTGCTCACTTGGGTACGACGTGGCAGAAGGACCCACACATATTTCCTTCGGATCATTAATTTCTATAAAAGAAGAGATTTGCTCTACAGAGATGAAGGGATGTATAGAAAGTTTGCCCATTTTCAACTTGATTAATAAATGTCTGCTTTTAGTATGGACCGGGAGTACTCTTGAAGCGTGGGGCAGTGTGTAAAGCATTGGTAAGGACCGTGGAAATGTCGGTTCTGCGCAGGTCCTCTCTGAACCCTCAGGTACTTGGGGGCACCTGGGTGGCTCATTCATTAAGCGCCTGCCTTCAGCTCGGGTCGTAGTCCCAGAGTCCTGGGATCGGGCCCCACATCGGGCTCCCTGCTCTGTTGGGAGGCCTGCTTCTCCCTCTCCCATTCCCACTGCTTGTGTTTCCTCTCTCGCTGTCTATCAAATAGATAGATCAATCAATCAATCAATCAATAAATATAAAAAATAAAATCTCGGGTACAGGGGCACAAGGACACGTGTACAAAGATATTCATCATTGCATCACTTTTAACAGCCAAAGACTGTCAACAGTGCAAACGTCTCCCCATTGTGACTGGTTAAACAGTGGGTTAGGATTCTGCCTTGGAGAAGAATGCATCAGAGCTACATTAATAAATGCAGAAATTCTCAGAAACATGTATGAGATGATAAAGCAAGTTTCATAATGAGCACAGGTACCTTTTATGTAAGTTAAAAACATACAAACCAATGCGTTATGTGTTGTTTAAGGACATATTATATATATATATATATATATATGTATGGGGGGAGAGCATGTGCAGGAGGGAGGGGGAGAGAAAGAGAGAGAGAGAGATATATAGATAGAGAGAGAGAGAGAGAGATGATTTAAAGAATCCACACAAAATTCCAAAGAAGAGAAGGGAAAAGGGAATGGGACTGAGAATTGGATCCAGAGGAGGGCAAAAGGAGCACCAACTTTATCTGAAATGTCTTATTTCTTCAATTAAAAAAAAAGACTTGGGGCACCTGGGTGGCTCAGTGGGTTGAGCTTCTGCCTTTGGCTTGGGTCATGATCCCAGGGTCCTGGGATGGAGCCCTGCATGGGGCTCCCTACTCAGCGGGGAGCCTGCTTCCCCCACACCCCAGGGCTGCCTGCCTCTCTGCCTACTTGTGATCCTTGTCTGTCAAATAAATAAAATCTAAAAAAAAAAAAGACTTAAAAATGATAAAATGTTCATCATTTTCAATTCTTAGTGATGACACATGGTGGTTGTTAAAATGTTCCCTCTTCCTTTTTAAAAGCGCCCAAAAGAAAAGCCACGGGAGAAGAAAGAAAAGTGGTGAAAATATCTTTGGTAAAAAGAGAAAGAGCACATTCAAAGTCACTTAGTTTTGTTTAAAGGTCAATCAAAATCAGCCAGTTCAAATGCACTTAATTTCTAAGAGCCGCTGGCTGCTGGGCGCTGTGTTCCTGTGGTCTATTGAACCAGACTAAATGCTCTGTGTGTGGGAGTGTGTCTTATACTCTTCCATTTCCCACTGCACACAATGCCCAGCCACAAGAGGCACCAGATAAGTGTCTGTGAAATAAATGAAGAGGAGGGACTCAATATACATCATGATTATCTGAATATGAGAACTAGCCTTGCTTAATTGCCCACTGTAACCCAGAAGCCTAACTGTAATGATCTCTGCCTATGGATGAGTAGGCCGCAGGCAGAGAGGTTAAACTCTGGGGTGACAGCCATAAAGCTGGCGAGTTGTGGAGCTGTAATCTGGATCCAGCGGGAGTGGCTCCAAAGCCTGTCTCTTTCCAGAGAGCTACATGGCTTCCCTACAGCTCTTCATACAGGGCGTGCCTGGATAGTTAAAGCTATGTTTGTTGAACCGGTTCAAAAAATGAAACACAGGGCGCCTGGGTGGCTCAGTGGGTTAAGCCTCTGCCCTCGGCTCAGGTCATGATCTCAGGGTCCTGGGATTGAGCCCCACATTGGGCTCTCTGCTCAGCAGGGAGCCTGCTTCCTCCTCTCTCTCTGCCTGCCTCTCTGCCTGCTTGTGATCTCTGTCAAATAAATAAAATCTTAAAAAAATAAATATTTAAAAAGTGAAACACAGATCAAGTAGTTTATCTAGTTGTTAAACAAGTTCCTTTAGGGCCTCAAAGTGGGAGCAGAGGCTGAAGTGTGTCTGGGAGACTGGTGAGGCGTCACCCAGTGACCCCAGAACCACCAGCTCCTCGTTCCCGCTCCACGGTGGGTCAGGCACTGGACCGGGCACTGCGGACTCAGCCAGGACGTCCTGCCCCAGCGCCTTTGCTCTTACAGGGAGATTGCAATGGAGGGATACATTCAAAACACGCCACGGGTGGGCGACGGGGAGACTGGCGTGCTGGGAAGGGCCCGCGCTTTGGGTCGGACTCTCCAGCGGGGTCTGTTCTACCGTGGACCGCACGAGGGGGACGTCTTTGGAGCAAGCTCCGGGACCGCTGCGGGTCTCGGTGACTTCGCCACACGAAGTAGGGGAGGAGCGCGCACCGCTGGGGGCAGGAGCACGGCTCCGGAGGTGTGGGCGCTCCTGCTGTCATGACTACCGTTACCGTCGGCTGACAAGGGTAGGGGTGGCTCTGGGTCAGCCCACCGCCCCCCTCGGCTCCCTCGGGCCGGCGGTCTGCACCTTCCTTGCGGCCCCGCGGGCCCGCGTCCCCGTGGTCTCCCGCCGACTCCTCCACGCCCGGCTCCTGCGCGCAGCCCTGCTCCCGCGGCCCGTCCACCACGGGCTCCGAGGCCTCGGGGTGCATGCTTACTCCGGATACACCGGACACCCGGTTCCGCGGGGTCGCGACCGCCCCCGGCCGGGTCGGGGAGCTCTGCTTTCCTTCCCCGCCGACCACTAGCGCCCTAGTCGTTGGCAGCCCAACGCTTGCCTGGTCTCCACGGCAACCGCCGCGCACGCGCACTCGGGGGAGGGCGCGCGTCGGGACGCCAGGGGCGGGCCACGCAACGGCTCCGCCCCCGGCGCGTGCGCGGGTCACGTGGGGCGCGGCCCGCTGCAACTGCGGCGGCGGTGGTGGTGACTGGGGTGTTGCTGGTGACGAGGGCGGCGGCCGCGCGGCTCTGGCGGGACCGGCTCCGAGACTGCGCTGCCTCTGCAGGTACCACGCCCCCACCTCACCCCGCTTCTCCCCGCGCCCGGCCCGGGGACCCGGGCCCACTTGCTGTCCCTCGGCCCGTGCCTCCCGGTGCGCCCCGCCACGCCCCCCGGGACCGTACCCCTCGGCGCCATCGGCACCCCGGACCCCCGGACCCCCTTCGTCTCTCCGTCCCCTCGGACCCCCGCCTCGGCACCCCTCCTTCCAGACTCGCCCCCCAGCCCCACGGCGCCCCTTCCCGGCTCCATCCCGGAGTCGCACCCCCGGAGGACCCTCTGTCCTGGGTCCGCCCCCTCCCCCAGGACTCGGCAGACCCGGGGCTCCACCCACCCGAGCGCGGCCCCTCTGCCGCAGACCCCAGCCCGGGGCTCCCTGCGAGGCTCCGAGACTCACCCCTTTCCGTGCTTCTTTATTCTCATTTCTGGAGGACTTGGTTGGAGTGGCATTTGTTGTCGTCTTTGTTCTGAATTAGGAGTAATTCGGAATCAGGGCGCTCTGGAAGGAAGGGCACCCGTGGCTCCCGAAGCGCGGGGGTTTGCTGGCGTTTGCTGGGCGCTGCCGGCTGCTGGAGAGGAAGGCTTGGGAGATGGATGAAGCCGTCCCCTGGTTCAGAGGAAGGTGCAGCCCGGCGGACCCAAGCAAGCCCTGGAGCCCTGGCGGTGATGCCCGCAGGATTCCCGCCCGGGGGTCTCACAATGGGGCGGCTAGCCAGGCCTCTGGACTTCGGTAGACCTCGATCCGAATTCCCGTGGGGGCTGGGTATGTCACTTGCATCTCTGTCGGCCTCAGTTTCCCCATCTGTAAACGGGTGATTGTAACTCAGCCACTTAAGGTTGGTGAGAGAACAGTGAGGTGTGAGGGACAGAGCTCTTTGCTTAGGGGCGTCTGGGTGTTTCAGTCGGTTAAATTGGCTGCCTGCAGATACGGTCATGATTCGGGGGTCCTGGGATCAGGCAGAGAGCCTGCTTCTCCCTCCCCTTTGCTGCTTCCCCTGGTCGTGCTCTCTCTTGCTCTATCTCAAATCTTTAAAAAACAAAAAAAAACCCAGTCCTTTGCTTAAAGCCAGCTCTGAGTTCTAACCCTGACCAGTGCTAGCTCACCTTGAACGCGAAGTTAGAGGAGCTAATAGCTAAGGTTTACTGAGCATTGAAGTTTGGGGACTGTTCTGTGTTTTACGTGTATGACTTCGTTTAATTCTTAAAATCTGAGGCTGGAACTCTTATCTCCGTGTTTCGGTAACATCGGGTAACGTAAGGAAAACGCGGAGGTGAAGTAACTTCAGCTTCATCCAGCACAGCTCTTGGGAGGGGGAGAGCCTTGATCCGACTCCAGGAAATCTATTTTCAGAGTCTGTGGTTTAGTCACTACAGTAACGTTCTAGGAGCAAAGAGTTCAACAAATCAGTATTTTTTAAGTAGATTTTAAAAATTGGCAGAAAATTCATAGGACATAAAATTCATTCCCTTAGCCATTTTAAAAGTGTGTTCTTCATAGCAGAGCATTCACTATGTGCCACAGCCTCCACTGTTTAATTCCAGAACATTCCCAGCATCTTCGAAAAAAATCCTACCCCTGTTAGCAGTCACTCCCCGTTCCTGCTGTGCCTTTGCTCTGGCCACCCTGATCTATTCTCTGTCTCTGGATTTGCCTTATCTGGACAGTTCATATAGATAATCAGACGGTATTTGGTCTTTCGCTGAGCGTGGTGTTTCTGGGGTCTGTGTTTTCGGGGTCTGTTTCAGCGGCACGCCCCGCTTCCTTCTTTTTATTGCTGTCTGATACTCCATTATGCGGACAGATCGCCTTTTGTTTACCTATTTGCCTGTTGATAGACATTTGGGTTATTCCCCTGTGTTATCTATTGGGAACGGAGCTGCTTACGGTAGGCTCTACAAGTTTTTTGTGTAAGTTATCTTGGGTGGATACCTAGGAATGGATGCCATTGTTATTTTAATTCCAAATGGAGCCCTGAAACCCAGGCCTATTGGATCTCGGATGAGAACTCCCATTTCTGCCCTTTCTGCCGAGCTCCCCATGAATTCAGGTTAGTGGTATCCCAAAAGTGGGCAAAGGAAAGAAAGGAAATTCCAGAATGTCATGATACACCAATAGTAACTTTGTGAGAGTACTGACACAAAGGTTGAGAAGCTCCTTACATTTTTTTTCTCCTCAAGAGTGAAATCTGAGCTTTGAACCCAAAGCTGTGTTTGCTTCTATTTATTAAACAGATGTTTTATACAGATTTATACCAGCTGCTGAGGAGGAATATTAATGGTGGGGGCGATCCCAGCCTCACACCACCACCGAGCCCTCGCAGGAGGGTTAAAGGCGTAAACCTGCAAAGCAAAATTGTGAAAAATTCGAGGAAAAGGTACTGGAAAATGCCTTTATGTCCTGGGACTAAGAGGGGATTTCTTACCTGAAACCCGACAAAGCACAAAGCATACGGGAAAAAGATTGATCTGTTTGCCGTACGATCAAGGTGTTAGTTCATCAAAAGCACTATAATGCGAGCAAACATAGAGAACCAGTATCTAGAACGTAGAGGGAGAAGGGAGACAACACAGTGGAAGGGCAAAAGCTAGGAACAGGCTCACAGATAGCAGAGAAGCTTCATAAAGATGCAGTCAACCTTATCAGTCACGAGGAAATGAAAGTTAAAGCCAGAGTGTCCCCCCCCCCCTTTCAAGGCCACCCTGGGGGCGGAAGGTGAACCTACTGGTGCAGCCCGTTGAGGAGGGACACTGTGAACTAACGCTGGCTGACTGTGCCGTGGGGATTGGCCCAGCAGCTGGAGCAGTGCCTGCCAGAATGCAGCGGGGCCCCGTGGCCCGGCAGCGTGACTCCGGTATGTCCCTTCAACGGACTTGGGCACCTGTGCGTTCGGCACCTCTCTTCCTAACTGTAGAGTAAAAGCCAGAAAAACTCCATCCCAGATGCCCGTCAGTGATAGAATGGCCGTGTGAATCCCCGTGCGCTTGTCCCGTGACCCTTGTGCACGGGGAAAGTATATCACAGGGACGAGACTCGAAGACAGCGTTGAGTGAAAAAACGTCACCAGAAATACACACGCTGTGATTCCTTTAGAGAAAGTTCCAAACCAGACAAAACAGAACACTTTTCTTTCAGAAAAGTTGCTGGGGTAACCGTACCACTATTTTTTTTTTTTTAGGGCAAGGGAACCGGGAGGTCAGAATCGAGGAGGGTGGTAACCCTCCTGGGGGGCCCAGAAGGTGATGGTAGGATCAGGGGAGAAGTTATGGGGCTTCTGAGTGGGGTGGCCTCGCGGGTGTTTGGTTATTCTTTGAAGTATGTGTAATAGGTTTTACAACTTCCCTGCGTATTTTTCAGTTTTTTCAAGTGGCAGCAAAATTAGTTTTGGATACACCTGCCCTTGAGAAGCTTGTGCTCTGGCTGGGGAACCAAGAGACAAGGGAAACAGCCGAACGGAACCCGGAGTGGTGAGGGGCCTTGTGGGTGAGACCGGGAGATGGGAACTCGGGGTCTCGGTGCAGTGGCCAAAGGAGGAGCGGGAAGCGGCACAGGGCTCCCCTTCACCCCACGCCTGGCGTGCGCTGGCGCTTATCGGTGAGCACTGGCACCGAGTGGAGGGTTGAGCTGGTCTTGGGAGGACAGACAGGATTTGAGTGTCTCCAGCAAGATAGATGCAGACTCCGGGTGAGAGAAGTAAGATCTCTGTGAAAAACCTTAACGAGAAATAAGCCCCCAGCCCTGGAGCCTTATTGAAAAGCCGGACGGTGGTGGCTGTGGGTGAGGGTGGGAAGGACCACCTCAGGCCTGCCCCACTCGGGGGAAGATCATAGGAATCTCTGAGGCTGTTCGTGGCTCCTGCGAACACGAGAAGCTTTTGGTTTAATGGATGTGCAGGATTTGCACCTTGTCTCTGTGCTATCCTAAAGACGAGACGGACGGTCTCCCTGTCCTTCCATCCATCGATCCGTCTTAATTTCCTATTGTTGCTATAACAAATTACCACAAACTTCTCACCGTTTTGGAGGTCAGAAGTCTGGCATCCGTCTCAGGCTAACACCAGGATGTCAGCAAGGCTGTGTCACTCCCAGAGGCTCTGGGGAGAACCTCTTTCCTGCCTTTGCCAGATGCTAGAGGTGCCTGCGTTCTAGAGGGTAACCCCTCTCCCCGTCATCAAGTCCAGTGGCCTCCTGTCTTTAATCCTGCCTGTCTCCTTGACCTCTGCTTCTTGATCCCATCTCCTTCTTGATTCCATCCCCTCAGACTTTGACCTGCCTCCTTCCTCCAAGGCCACGTGTGATCACAGTGGTCCCCACCCGGATCATCCAGGATCAGCTCTTCCTTTTAAGGTCCTTAGCTTAATCATATCTGCCAAGGCCTCTTTGCCACGTAAGGTGGGGCATTCGTGAGGTGCTGCGAGGATTAGGGCGTGGCCAGCTCCCAGGGCCACTGTCGGTGCCCCACGCTGCCTTTGGTGGGGCTTTCACGGTCTTCTCCCATCATGCTAGCTTGTTTCCGTGAAAGCATCTGGCCCGTCTGTCTGATGGCCTTTTACCATCAGGCCTCATTTGTTTAGGTAACTTGGTGATGTCAGTGGTGGAGCCCACTCGTGCCCCAGAACTCTTGCTTCATGAAGGTTTCATATGAGGTTTGCCGGCTCTTGTCACTGCTGGGGCTGAGCCCGCTAAACTCTGGGTCAGGAGAATGTTACATGTCACAGCAGGGCTTTGTTCTGTTCTGTTTTTAAATTTTACTTATTTTATTATCTCTACACCCAGCATAGGGCTTGAACGTGTGACTGGGAGATCAAGAGTCGCCTGTTCTACTGACTGAGCCAGCCAGGCACCCCCATAGCCGTCCTCTGAAGACGTGACTTTGCCCCTTGGAGTTTTGACTGTAATTATCCCATGACCCTTTTGTGTTTGCACTGTTTCCTTTAGGGTTTGTTTTAGGACCCTCTGGGAGCAATTTTAGGTTTACCTTAAAACAGAGAGAAAGGTACAGAGATGGCCCGCATACCCCTGATCCCACACACGCGGAGCATTCCCCCACTGTCGAGGTCACTCACCAGAATGGTGCCTTTTTTTTTTTTTTTAAAGTCAGGGAGGAACCTGCACGGACACGTCACCATCACCCGAAGTTCGTAGTTTACCTGGACGACCTTCACGTGTTTGATGCGTCAGCGCTGATGATTGTTGCCCTGTAGACGTGGAAAGTGCCTCAGACGATAGGGAATTGCTCTTTTCCTATTTGGGGGACAGCTCTCTTTTCCTCCACCTGTTTTTCTCCTACTTGGTTCACTGATGACTGAGTTTTCTGTAGCGGCGGGAAAACAAAGCTTTAGAACTTCTACAGGCAGATTGGGTGGGGGCCGGGGTTTTACTGTGGTGCAGTGCTGCTTTCTAAATAATGGGCTTCCCGACATTTTAGCCTGGTGCCTGTCTGCCGAGAAGTGGCCTGGTCAAACCCTCATAGCAGGGTAAATGCAGCGAGGTATCTTGGTAGGGTTCTGGGCTTAAATGCGTAATGAACTCCTTTAACCTGGATTTCTGTGAGATTTCCTGGATATTAGTGGCTTTGGGGGAAGTCTTGATTTCTTCTTTCATTAGGAAGACATTATTTTCCATCATGTACTCAAGGGTGGGGAGAAGACTGAGAGGATGTCTGGAATGTCTACATCCTGTCGTTTTCCATTTACGCTCCATCAGGTTGTGAGCAAATGTAGGAGAAGGCCTGGTCTGTCTGAGAAGCAGCACGAGTCTTCACAAAGCCATGTGGTCTCTGTTCAGCCTTGCCTTGTCCCCTTCTGGAAGGAAGAGGGTCCCAGACCCTTCACTTCCTGCCCGCATCCGCACAGCCGCCCCCCCCTGCTGCCAGCCACCTTTTACGACAAACCCGATTGGCTCCCTGCTTTGGCAGAAGGGACTTAACTCAGAGAGTCAGTCTACACGCTTCTGTTTGGCACAAAGACCTTTCACAATCTGGCCTTCCCTTCCAGCTGCCTTGGCACCCTTGGGTGCACTTCCTGTGCTGGGAGCCTGTTGAATTTGTCACTGTTTCCTGGCAGGCTGGTCCTTTTGTAGTGCTGTGCCCTTGGCCCCTCTCTGCTCATGAGGGTCTGGAAGCCCAGCAGTGCCCTCACCACTGTGCCCTGAGTCGCGCTGTTTATCTTGGTGAATTCTGCCTACACAGGTTATTTTTTGTAAGTAAATGGGGTGTTTGAATATGTCAGTCTTCTGTGAGTTTGGTGGCTGTGAGTCAGGTCTCCATCTTGAGCCATGTCTGGGGAGTGAGGAGATGGCATGCTGTCCCCCAAGGCTGTAGACCCGGCCTAGAACACTGGCAGCCCTCGGATTCTCCGTGATGGAAAACAGAGGTAGCCGTGACAGTCTGTTTAAGGTGCTTGCCTGCGGTGGAACTGCGATGTTGAATATCGTTCTGATCCCCCTGCGACAGGACGGCTGGAGGGGAGTGTGACTGGCAGAGCCAGGAAGCCAGGCCCCGCCAGGTCCAAGGCCCTTGAGACCGCTGTTCTCCATGTCTCTGAAATGGGTGCACCTTTCTGTTGCACCTGAGTAGGGGGTCGCTGGCGGGTTTTGCACGTGGGGTTTTCTTTCTGTAGGGGGGACTTTGGTGGTCCCCTTGCCAGCTGACGAATGAGAAAGTGCGCAGGCTGAGAGCTGAGCTAGAGTCCCGTAGTGTGGCTTCATGTAGTGGTCGCCTTGCCGTGGGCTACCTGTGGTGGAAGGGGCTGGAAGCACAGGGAGGAGTAAGGTTTGGCCTCAGCCCTGGAGCAGCCCAGCGTGCTGGGGGGGCTTCAGAAACAGAGTGTAGAAGGCAGCGTCCAGGGTGGGAAGAAGGGGCCAGAGGTTCCTTTCCTCTGTGCATTCTGAAAGTGCTAGAAGGGGCTGCTGCACATACCGAGGGACACGTCTTCCCGCCACCTCTGCCAGCTGATGAGACAGTGCGGGATGCCTGGGCTCCCGCGGCCAGCCGGAATCCACCAGGAATGTGGCATTGTGGGGCCGCAGCCCTGTGGGAGCCCAGGGGCCCTGCAGGCAGAGCCGTGGAAGGCGGCTCGCCAAGAGAGCCGTGAGGCAGGCCGGCCCCAGGAGTGAGGATGGCCCGGTCTGTTCCCCCTCCCCGCCCCACCTGCTCCCGGGCTTTGTGTCCTGAGCTCCCAGTGTCTATGCAGAGCACCACCTCCCTCCCAGCTGTTGGAACTGGTTTCGTTCCATTTGATGAACTGTTCCTTAAGAGAGAAGGTGCGGGAAAAGCGGGCGCGTTCCAGCTGAGGCTTTCTTCAGACGCCGTTGGTGTCTTCCTTTTTCTGCTGTGAGGAAGGGCTTTGCCGTCTGCACAGGGGATTCGTGGCATAAGAATTTGTGTTTCCTTAATTTTGAAAAACTTTGGCTTATGTTTCTATCAAGCTTTCTCAGCTGAGGCGTGAGGGCGAAAGAAAGGACTTTGTTTCAGGTCGGTGTTTGTTCACAGGTTGGCCTGAAGACTCCAGCTTCCTCCTGAACACCCAGAACCGGCAGAGGGAAGGTCAGAGAAAACCAAGGTGGGTCAGGACCCCAGCAGAAGAATCAGGAATCGTCTGTGTGTCAGGCCCCTTTTGATTGTTTTTCCTTCCAAATGTTCAGACTCTTGGAAAGAATTGTGTTTGAGGGGGAAGAAGTGCCCCTTCCACAGCTTGCCATCAGCATGAGGCCGTGACGTGAGCTGTGTCTGACCTGCTCCTGTTTAGCGAGACCCTTGTAGACCCTGCAGTTACCTTCCCCACAAGGACGGCTTTGCTGGCAGCCCCGTAGATCTTCATACACGGGGTGTAAATTTTCATTGAAAACGGTATTTCAGTAGCTTAAATATACACCCGTAATTTTTTTTTTAAAGATTTATTTATTTATTTATTAGAGAGAGAGTAGGAGCAGGGAGGAGAGGCAGAGGGAGAAGCAGACTCCCCACTGAGCAGGAGCCCGACGCAGGACTCAATCCCAGGACCCGGAGATCACGACCTGAGCCGAAGGCAGAGGCTTAACCGACTGAGCCACCCAGGTGCCCCCACCCACCTGTTATTAGGAGAACAGATTGAATATTCTAAGAATCCAGATTTTTTTGTTGTAGTTTTGTTATTCTTAATTTTATTACACTGTATTGGAAAAGGACTAGTACCCACAAATACTATATTTTTTTGCTTTTACTTTCCTTGTGGCTTCGTATTAGATTAGTTACAGCAGAAGGCACGTGCACACTTCGAAGGTATTATTTCAGGAACTCCCCAAAGTGAAGGTTTAACATGGGATTTCGTTTTTCTGTCCTTTCTTGGAAGAAATTACTGTTTTGGTCATTTGTTTGGAGGCTGCTGCCGTTGCAGACACGTTGGGAGCATGCCAGGTCAAGGGCATGCCCAGGCTGCCGGCTCCCTCCGCAGGGACTTGCTGTGTACTGAGCTGCAGAGCAAGGGCCCTTGAGAAGGGTCACACGACATTCCTCCTCCTCTCTAGTGGCTGGAAGCTTGGAGGGGCATTCCTGCACCGCAGGAAGAGAATGGACGTATTTGAGACATGATGCTAACTGGGAATGTATTTCCGGGGGTCTGGGAGCAGCCCTCCCAGTGTTGTTGCCTTCTGTAGGGCGGACTGATCAGGACAAGAAGGGCCTCTTCAGCCCACACTCCGTTGATGCTGATAACTTCAGACCTCAGAAAATCTCAGCCAGTGTGGTCCTTGAAGACAAATTACCCCAAAGGAGCATTTAATTGTTGTTATATTATTACATATTTGGCTTGTGGCGTTCATAAAGTTTACAGTGTTTTCTTTGCCTGATCAGTCTTGGCATTCTTGTGGGGGGTACGTCTCTGTGAGCAGAACAGACAGGAACTGAGATGGCCCAACTTCCATTGTTCTCTCTGCCATTTGGGGAAAACATTTCTTTAAAGTCATGCGACGTCAACTCAGTTAGTAATATGGTAGCCGTGTGCCTCTTCTGGCTTGAGCAATTGTGTCCTTGTTGTGGGGCATTTGGGAATCCTACTGCCTGCTCCTGTCTCCAGTTTTCTGTCCCGATTCCATGTGTCCTTTCTTGGTTTGTAATTTGGATTACACTTTGATGTATATATTCCTGTGTGTATATATATACATTCACATACCCCTCTCTGTGGTCAACAGGTTTTCCATTATCTTAGGCCTTTTATCGCAGGACGCTGCTGCTCTTAGAATGTGTTCCATTTCAGTGGCTGGTTGGTTTTCTCCTGCTTTGCGCATTTTCACTCTGCAGAACCTCTTCCGGCCTGCATCGCACTTCTGTGGCGCCTTCCCTCATTCTTCCTTCAGCTTAGGCCTATTTTTGCTGCTATCGTTGGGAATTCTCTTAGTTTCACGATTTTTTTTTCTGTTTCAAGGGGACTTTGAAGAGAGGCCATTCCCAGAAGTGTTACGTATATATTTTGGATTAAAGTCAACTTTTCCTTCATGTAATAAATAAATCTTTGAGTTCGTGCGTATCAGAGCTCCCCATAATGTAATTGCAGGCTCTTGTGATCCCTTCGCTATCTCGTCCCTCGCGGACAGCACGCAGCTGGATCCCGCCTCAGTGGTTCCCAGGTCTGGGCTAGGACCCAAGTTCATGAGCTGTGGTGGCACCAGGCCTTTGCCTCTGCAGGGTCGTCTCCCACCACAGGGACACATAAAGCCATTCATATGGCATTTAAAATAGTTTCGTTAAGTGTCCTTCTGTTCTCCTGGGCACAGTTTAACTCACACTTGAATCCTTTGCATCAGTCATGGTCCATGGAACGTAGTAGGCGCTTTGTAAATGTTGGCCGCGTGGGTACGTACAGGAGTCGTACGGGACTCTTTCCTTAGCTGTAAGGTGCAGGGCAGAGATGGGGTGCCCGTGACAGCAGTAAGACGGAGGAGTGCTCGCTTTCTTCTTGTTTCAGAAAACCCATTCCTCGGGGTGCTTGGGTGGCTCAGTCGATGAAGCGTCTGCCTTCAGCTCAGGTCATGATCCCGGGGTCCTGGGATCGAGCCCTGCGTCGGGCTCCCTGTTCAGCCGGGGAGTCTGGTTCTCCCTCTCCCACTCCTCATGCTTGTGTTCCCTCTCTCGCTGTGTCTCTGTCAAAGAAATAAATAAAATCTTTAAAAAAAAGAAAGAAAAAGAAAAGCAATTCCTCAAGCTTGGGGAGTATTTCTTTGTAAATCAACGTTTATGCATATTACGTATACATAACATGATTTATGTGAAAGTTCACTGCAGGTTAGTTTTACCTCAAACGGACTGTGAGCTCTTTTTGGCCAAGGCGCCGTCTTGGTGCTGCTGCTCCTCCGGCTTTGTCTCCACGTGGGCGGGCGGCCCTCCGCGGGCTGATGATGGAGGAGCAGACACGTAAACACACCTCTGAGCTGTTACAGGAACTGGAAGTCTGTGTCTGTCACTGCCGGGCGAGGAGCTTTTTTAGGGCACAGAGCATATTGTGTTTATCTCTGTATCTACAACACGCCCCGTGGTGCCTGGGTATTCGTAGGAATCTCAAAGCTCTCGGTAGTTACACGTTGACTGATCTCCTTGGAAGGAAAGGACTTCCGGAGCTGCAGATGGTAAAGAGACTATACATTGAGCAGGTCCCTGGGGTACGTGCATTTGAACGCTACCGTTCATCGAGTGCCTCACTGATAAGCTCTGACGTCCTTGGATGTCTGTCTTCATTCCGACTCCGTGTGTTCCTTTGACACAATTAAGCAAAGAACACCTCTCTCTTTCCCCTTCCCTGCAGGCCGCCATGGCTGCTGTTGACAGCTTCTACCTCTTGTATAGGGAGATCGCCAGGTCCTGCAATTGCTACATGGAAGCTCTGGCCTTGGTCGGAGCCTGGTACACGGCTAGGAAAAGCATCACGGTCATCTGTGATTTCTACAGTCTGGTCAGACTGCATTTCATCCCGCGCCTGGTGAGCAGAGCAGATCTGATCAAGCAGTACGGAAGATGGGCAGTCGTGAGTGGTAAGGAAGGAGATGCGGTCGTGGCCCGCTTTCAGAACACAGTCATCTCTCCTGTTGAGGCTGCGTTCTCAATGGGGTGCCTTATTCGAGGAGTCACTGAATTCACCATGATGTGTTCTTGGGAACACAGCTCTGTCGTGATGCCGGTCACTGTTTCTTAGCGCCCTCCTCTTAGAATGATGTTTGTCCTTCTTGCTCTGTCCTCCTGTTCCTGGTCCTGCCTTAGCCCACCTTCGCTCCCTTTTGAGATTGTCCTTAGAAATTGTCACCGTCCGTTCCCTTATTTTAAATTTCATTTTGATTTATCATTATTTCCCAGGAAGGTACCTCCCTAGCACTCATGTAAGCCAGATACAAGTTTGAAAACCATTTCCTGCTGTGTCTCCACCCAGCTCGGTGAACGTGAAGCTCCCTCCCCTGCTTGTCAGGGTGTCTGCGAGAGTGTTTGACCAAAGGTGTCAGTGATACGTGGATGCGACACTGTACCTGACACAGTGATCCGTGTGAGAACTGGGTTTATTTCTAGTGTGACCCTTTCTCAGCTGAAACCCAGAAACAGGAGATTTAAGGTTTGCTCTGAAGGTCCCACTGTGAGATGAGCCCACTCACCTTCCCTGGCCTGTACCGCAGGTGCGACCGATGGGATCGGAAGAGCCTATGCAGAGGAGCTGGCAAGCCGGGGCCTCAACATTGTCCTGATCAGCCGCAGCCGAGAGGAGCTGCAGACGGTGGCGAAAGACATAGCCGACACCCACAGCGTGGAAACCGAGGCCATAGTTGCGGACTTCAGCAGCGGCCGCGACATCTACGACCCAATTCGAGAAGCTCTGAAAGACAAAGACATCGGCATCTTGGTGAATAACGTAGGCGTGTTTTATCCCTACCCCCAGTATTTTACTCAGGTCTCCGAGGACAAACTCTGGGACATCATCAATGTGAACATTGCTGCGGCTAGTTTGATGGTCCATATAGTGCTACCAGGGATGGTGGAGAGAAAGAAGGGTGCTGTTGTCACCATCTCTTCCGGCTCCTGCTGCAAGCCGACGCCCCAGCTGGCTGCTTATTCTGCTTCTAAGGTAATGTATTCCCGATTGGAAGCGAAGTCATAAAGCAGGAGGACATTGCTTATGTGGTTCGGTCCAGTGTGCGGAGCTCTTTGTGTCCAGCTCGTGTCTATTTCTGCTGTACTTTTACCTGACATGGTAATAATTGCAAGGCTGTTCTCTTCCGAATTTTCTTCCACGTCCCCCCCCCCAGCCCCCGCCCCTTAAGTCTTTACCCCTGCTCTGTCTCAACAGGCTTATTTAGACCACTTCAGCAGAGCCCTGCAGTATGAGTACGCTTCTAAAGGCATCTTTGTACAGAGTCTCATCCCCTTCTACGTGGCAACCAACGTGACCACACCTGGCAGCTTTCTGCACAAGTGCCCGTGGCTGGCGCCTTCGCCCAAAGTGTACGCGCACCATGCCGTTTCTACCCTTGGCATCTCGAAAAGGACCCCAGGATACTGGTCCCATTCTATCCAGGTAACAGAACGCGCTCAACTCTTACAGTTAGGCTAATGCGGCCTCAGCCTTTCGGAATGATACGTGGCAATCTGATCGGAGCCCGCTGCTGGAATGGGGGAATTGCACGTTCTGATTCTTAAACCTGACACTCATAGTGGTTCTGGTGAAGTCCCTCAAATTCTCCGTGCTGCTCTTACTGATAGTTTGATTTGTGTGGCCCCGTAGAGATGGAAGAATGCTGCTTTACTCTAGGAAGTGGCAGGAGTGTATATTACTCAGGATTCATGGGGGCTCTTTGCATAAAGATTATTAAATTTGCCATCCATAGATAAGAAAAGCAGCAGTTAGTTTTTCCTTTTATCGAAAGATTTGGCTGAAAGTTTCTTAGTAAGAAGGAGCTCGATTTATTCACTCCTCTGTTAATGTTTAGCCCATAAGGAGTTCGCTGGAGGAAGTTTGATGTGCCAGACACACCGTGTAAAGAAATGTCTGTGCTCATCCTGATCAGTCTTCCATGTTAGGGCCTGAGTGAAGAGGGCAAGCGGGCCTGTGTTGGCTCTAGGAGCTGGAGAATGCTCAGTGTCTTGCATGAAGGCAGTTTTGGGAGCCCTTCAGGGAGCTGTGGACGGCAGTGGGCAGGTGAGGGGGGAGGGCTGGGGAACCGCATGCTCTGTAAACAAGGCTGTGGGCTGCGGCAGGCAGGTGGACTGGGATGGAGGAAGCAGCTGTATTTGTTAATCCGTTTACAGCAGCGGAGACGTGGCTGGGAGCAAGTGCTGGCGGGAAGGGGATGTGCAGGGGAATGGCCTGAAGATAGGGGAGAGAAGTTGTGCTTCCCGGCAGCGCAGGCAGGACCCAGAGCACATGGAGGGGGTGACAGGGAAGCCACAGTGGCGAGCAGGGGCTGTCGTCTGCTGACTCCCGGGAGGTGGGGGCTTGCGGAGCGAGGAGGTTTGAAGTGAGAGTGTCGGGGGGGTGGGGTGGAGAGCAGGGCGCTGCTCCTGTGCCAGTGACCCTTTCGGGAGCTCCTGCCGGGATGGGCTCTAGACTGGTTTCATAGCCTTTTACTGATGTGGATCGGTGCTCAGTCTGTGTCAGTGGTTCTTTGTGATGAGCTTGCTCAGAGGTCGTGGGGAGGAGCCCTCACTCCTTCCTGGGCCCCAGCCCTTACGGATGTCTGCACAACCCCGTTCCCATGCAGGAGCTGTATGAGTTGGCCTTTTGTACTTCCTTGGGATACATGGAGTTAGACGATGGCATCTTCTCTGTGTTGTGCGAGTTGACTTAACGATTTGTGAGAGAAAACAGAAAAAAATGCTTTGGACTTAAAGCAGCTATAAAGCAGTTGGATGTCTTGGCTTTAATTGTTAACCATTTATCAGTGTTGTTTTGGGAGCCTTTCTTCCCATTTTCAGAATTGCATGAGGCCGAGTTTTCAGCTCTGGAACATAGAGTAAGGCTGACAGAAAAGCCTGTGGCCTTCTGTTTGGGTTACTTGACGTGGAGGCCAGAAACACGTGCGTATGTGTTAGGTTGATAAGCCATTAACTTGACAACTTGACCAGTCTTGCTTATAACTCCGGGGGCTGTGTTCCTGGTGTAGGAAGACAGAGAAAGCCACAGGGACTGGCAAGAGGGCTGGGGGCAGCTGAGCTCTAGACTGGCCTGCAGTCTGCTCTGAATTCCTACCCACTTTAGTTAGGCATATCTGTTCCCATGTAGTGTGTCTGTGTTGCTCTTGGAGAAAGACGATGTGGCATTTAGAGGAGAGGGGAGCTACTTGGCCTTGAGAAGGCCCTGGGGATGCAGGTCCAGGAGAGGCAGGCCAGCAGCTGAGGTCCAGGCCCTCCTGCACAGCCCAGGTTCCCATGCCAGCGGCCAGCCAGGAAGGGAGCCTCAAACCACATACCGGCACTGTAGCTTTGTCTCCACCTTTGGAATAACTCTGGCTTGAGGATCCAGCCCAAGTTCTTGGGGATCTTTTCCTTCCTTCCCATCCCCATTTCTTACCTAGGTCCTTCCTTCCCATCCCAGTCTCTGGGAGACGTTAAAGCATTGGCATTTTCATTGCCAGTGCAGATTTCCATCCGGTTGTCCATGTGTATCGGCCATTGACGTCCTCTTCTGGCTCTGGGTCCCCACAGGGGCTGTCAGTTACTGTGGGCTTTTGTCGCAGGGGAGGACAGCTCCTTTCTTTGGCCTGGACTGGTGAGTCAGGTCTCTGAACATGCACAGAGCCTTCCAGAGACAAAGACCCAGCCCTCCCTCTGCTCTCCACTCTCACTCACTCCCCCTCTAAACAAGTGGATGAGTCAGCCCTTTAGTTTCTAATCTGTCAGTACACAGAGGATGTAGTTCTCTCCTCTTCCATTAGCTCTTTCCATCCTGCTCCCTGGGGTGCTAAGACCCCATTAGGATCAGGCAGAAGTGGTGTGCCAGCGGTGGCTCCAGGCGTAGCCCTGTAGGAACCTGGCAGGGTGTGTCCTGCTGCTGGTCCCCCGTGACAGACAGTGGCCATGTTGAGCGGAAATCAAGAACAAACAGATTTCTGGTTGTTGATACCTTCTCCACTAAATAAATGCTGAAAAAAATGCGTGGTAGTCTCCCCTTATCAGTGCGGATATGTTCCACGGCGCCCAGTGGCCGCCTGGAGCCGTAGGTAGTGTTGGACCCTATAAGGACTGCTTTTCCCTGTTCGGGCAGACCTGTGGTAAAGTCTACTGTATCAGTGAGGCACAGTGAGAGGTTAACACCGATTCCTGGTAATAAGATAGAGCAGTCACAATGGTGTCCTGTAATCAAAGCTACGTGAATGTGGTCTCTCTGGAAATACCTGTACAGTACGTGGCCTTCTTGTTGAGATGAACGTGAGATGATCAGATGCCTGCGTGATGACAGGGAGTAAGGGGACGTCGCGTTAGGCGGCTGTTGACAGGGTGCTGGGTCAGGAGGATCATCTGCTTCTGGACCACAGTTGACCTTGGCCGTGGGTAACTGAAACTGTGGAAAGCAAAACCAGGACAGCGGGGGCACCGGTGTACTCGGAAGAGGCGGTCCAGCTCTGCAGTCTGTCCCAGGTGCCTGTGCGTTTGAGTACGTCCCTACTTCAGGGTGCTCCTAAGCGACCCGGAGCTGACTTCTTTTATCTCCTTACACTTAGAATCTTTCGCTTTAAAATAGCAGCTCCAAGGAAGGTACCCCGGTATTTTCCTCACAAAATCCTGGCTCTTTAACGAGGTCCAGAGAGATGTTAGTCATGTCCCCAGAATGTTTCCCGTGGCTCCTGGCCAGATACAGATATAGGGCTCCTGTCTCCGAGGAGGTCAGCGGAGCTTCTCTGGAATCCGTGGTGGCCGGCTGCGGCTGGCCCTGATCCTGGGACCTCGTCCAGTTCAGTGCGGCTTCCCTGGGTCTGGGGTGACCTCTGTTATTTTATTTCTGTTCAAGGCTAGCATTTTAGCGCTTGCCAGTGGCCTGTTCATCTCCCTTCTTTCCTTTTTTTTTTTTTTTTTAAAGTAAGCTCTATGCGCATTATGGGGCTTGAACTCACAACCCCAAGATCCAGTGTTGTACGCTGCAACGACTGAGTCAGGCCGCCCATTCATCTCCCTTCCTTTCCGTGCAAGCAGAGCTCGTGCTCAGCTCCGTCTTGGGCAGACCTGGCAGCACAGTGCAGGGCTCCCCGCGTCGGCGCTGTTGGCCTTTGGTGTCGGACAATCCCTCGTGGGGAGGCTCTCCTGGGCACTCTAGAATGTTCAGCAGCGTTCCCGACCTCTGCCCACTGAATGCCAGTAGCAGCAGCATCCACGTGTGATAACCAGGAACGTCTCTGGACGTTGCCATATGTTCCCCTGGGGGCGGGGGTGGGGGAAGGGCCCTGCAGAGAAGCCTCGGAGCGGAGCTCCGTCAGCAGGACCGTCTCCCTGCGTGCCCAGGCCGTCCCCATCACGTCTCAGGACCGCAGCCCAGCATCCCAGCGTTTTTTATTTCTTTTTGTCACACCGTTTTTGACTAATTTCAGCCCAGTGTGCCCCTCACAGCCCAGTTTTCTCACAGTGCACTGATCACGGATGCATTGATCCATTTCACCTGCCTTTTATTCCCGGAGTGGTTTTTGTCATTCTTAACCAAGTGGATATGTTACTGGTACCTGCTTAAGTAAGGATGGGATTGTAGTGCTGCGCCTGAGTTTGTCCCCCTCATTGGAGAGGGGTGGGCGGGCGGTGGTCCTGTTTCCTGTACTTCCATGGGTTCTAGCATGGGTTCTTAGGCCAAAGTAGGTGCTTGGTATAAGAGCACCTGAGGACTTTTTCTTTTTTCTTTTTTTGTATTTAATTCGGTGGTATTTGTTGCATTGAGTCATACATTGACAGTTAAGGTCTGTGCTTTGGGTTCTAACCTTCTAACCTTTTTCTCTTTCATTTTTAGTTTCTTTTTGCACAGTATATGCCTGAATGGCTCTGGGTGTGGGGAGCAAATGTTCTCAATCGTTCTTTACGTAAGGAGGCCTTATCCTGCCAAGCGTGAAACTGCCTGATGGTTTGGGAATTTTCGCCACCTCCTGGGAACCTGCAGTGTTCTGATGTTTGGAAGAACACACTTAATTTGTCTTCAGTATTTTCTTCTATCACTGGTTATGTAGCATACTGTGGACTCATCATTTGCAAAGCACACATAATACTTTTAGAGAACGCTGTGGAAAAACCACGAGGGCCACATCACGTGGATGGCACAGGGCACACAGTGACTGAGGCACAAGAACGTTATCGAGGGAACCTAAATTGTGATGCTTTTTTTTTTTCCTCTACACTCTCTCCAAGCCGTGTGATTTATGTTGTTCTAGGAGCTACAGCAATCTGTTACTGAAATATATAGGACTTGTTAGCTCTCGAACTTTCAAATGTTGTTTATGGGAAATTATTTCTGTAGATGAATTCCACTATTGTTTTTTGAATGTTCATCAGGAAAGAGTATTTAAAAGTGTTATTTTATAAGTAAGATTGCTAATTAGTAGTAATTAGCAGTAGAAATCCACGTGTGTCCTATTGTATAGCTCTGTTTGACTCTGTGTATGAAAATGCTGCTCTTCAAGCGATATTCCACTAGAGAACTGTGTGTGTGTATGTTCTGTACATCTGGGCAAGTTCATTTATGGGGCAGTTATTGTAAAAAAGATGTCTTGCTAAGGTGGCTTAATGTGGAACCTTACGGGGTCTTGAAATTCTAGCTTATTCCTCTTCATACTAAACATGCCTACCTGATTTTGGGCTATAAGTTTGCCGTGTGTAATATTATACATTCTGTTGGTTGTTGTTTTTTTTAATCTCCTGTGGAATTAATTCATCCTTAGAATCGAACCTACGATGGTCGACCCTTGGTCATCTCTTGATTTATAATTGTTGTGGTTAAGTGGTGATTTCTCAGCCTGTGACCCATTTTATAACTGAAATTTAGCCCTTCAGAGCTTGTTATATCTGGTTTTCATACACTTTTCTATGTAATATTCTCTTATAGTAGCGTTATGGGAGTAAACATCAGTTACTTAGGGAATAGTGGTTAAAATATGGACTAATGATGTGTGTGATATGATGTATGTGTTAAAATAAGTTAGAAACGCATTCTTGGTTTGTGTAACAAATCTACGCATTACAGTGAATGCTTTTGTTGGTGTGAAGATCATTGTGTGCAACCCTCCCACGATAGGGGTTAGCTTTGATACCTACTGTGAAATAAATGTTTTTGGCTCAGACCTCACAAAGCCAGACATTTTTGGGGACCGCTCTCTAGTGCTTCAGCCATGATAAATCACCATATGACTGTGACACCGATGCAGAAACTAGTAAATTGGCTGAAATCAGGAATTGTTGGAATTGTCTTCTTCTGAGTATAGTATTCCATTAGGAGTTAGACCTGGGCATGCCTTTATGGCACACCCACGATTTTGCCACTGCCATTGCCTCAGTATTTCCCGATCTCACTTGGGACTCAGAAGCTCAGTGGTTGAGTTCAGAAGCTCTTGCATGTATAGACCAGGCCCTCATGACACAAAAGAAGACCTTTCAGATGTGAAAACTTGCTAGCAGTGTTATGCAGCACAGAAGGTGTTGATGGAGTCTACTTGGAGGCCTGCCTTTTGTCACATTCGGCAATTTCCCCTCCCCTCATAGTCAACCTATGGTCATTAAGACTAGAGAAAATTTGACTTCCTGCCACATCGACCTGAATTGTAATTGACATGTAGAAAGCAGCTGCAGCTGTACCTGTTCAAGCACCGTGGTTCCCCCCAGGAGTTACGGGGCTCAGCCGTGTCTTCTACTTATAAGTGATGTAGGGAGTCACTGCCACATGATGAGAATAAGTAAATCATGTCGGTGATGTTTGCAGATTCTCTGCTTGGCAGGACATGTGCAAAAGCTGTTGGGTGCAAAGCTAGTGAAAGATCAAAACCAAGAATCTTCCTTAGGTTTCCTCTGATAATACACCTTTTCCCAGAACCCATTTGAGAATCATCATTGGGCCACTGGAGATGGGGTTTCTTACTAAGAATATGGGAAATCAAGAACCTTTAAAACAATCTGCGAACTGAAAATTTAACAGTAAAAACTGCTGCTTCTGCTTCCTGCAGAAGAGGTCTTGTTCCATGTGTCTGTATTTGGGACGAGAGAGATTTTTTCCCCATAGAAACAATTACTTTAAAATTACTGAAAAGTTAATCAATGAACACCTGCGGTAGTAATTCATTAAAAGCTTGTAATTCAGCAAGAAACTTGTGCCCAACATGTGTCTGTTAAGTCTTTCGAAACGACTAACTGGATTTCTTGATCTCATTCCCCTGATAGGTTGAGTAGATGAAAGTAGATCTTGATCATTGACTTCAGCACCCTGTACATCGCTGCTGGTGTTCCATGAGCCATTTTACCTCATGGTGGGGATGAAAGGTTGATTGTGGTGGGTTGGAGGAAGAGTGGAAAGGGAGTCAGCAAAGAGAGAGCTCTTTGGAGGAGTCTTTCTGTTTTAATCTCCATTACTCAGAATCTTACTGCATTTCGCACCCAGGGGCTTTGGGCGGTGTCGTCAGTCTGGACACCGCGTGCCCTCTTCAACCAAGTCCAGTCTGTCTGTGTGTCTCTCACTACTGGCTCAGCTGTTATTCTTTCAAATAGTACTTAGTTTGAATAAAGATTTACCTTCCCATGGAATTTGCAAATTCTTTATTATACACATAAAGCATACAGTGATTTCAGAACCTGGAGTGGTGGAAGACCGACAGACCAGGATCCTGTGGCTCTCATCCTTTCTTTGGATTTCCAAACCCCCGTTGCTCATCCCACACCCCTTCAGTTTAAAGGGTCCTGGGGGCTGGCCGCAGTGTGCTTTTCCCAGCTTTGGGGCTTCACTATCCCATGACAAGGGTGTTTGCAGCTCACTAGCCTACGTCAGTCCGTGACAGTTGGGTTGTGTATTCAGTGGCACAGTGACTTCAAGGCCTGTTAAAACAACCGTGGCTTAGACCAATTTACCCCACATTATAACACCACAGTTGAGTTTAAGATCCAAGTGTATTACATGGTGGCAGCAGGCACTGCTTAACTTCGAGGATTTACCATGCCAGAGAGACCAGAATTCTCTGAAGTCCCCAACATCGGCGCGATCTCAGAATGGGGAGAACTTCATCAGGAGCCAACGGGTCTAAATGTACCGAACGCTTGTTTCATTAAACCCTCACCCTGGGAGTGGGTACGAATACCGCTTTCGGGTAGGGCAGGTGAGGTAGAAGAGCCGCGCTGCGACTTGCCGGAGATGAAAGCCAGTGAGTGACGGGGTGCTAACCCAGTGTGAAGCCGGTCTGGTTAGAGAACGACCCAGGGAACACCGAGTGCCCCGCGGTGCTGTCAGGCCGGCGCCCCTCTGCGTTACCGCGGGGCTGCGGGGAGTTCGGTGTTACTCGGCCGTGCAGCACATCACCTTCCAACAGCACGACCAAAATCACGCTTCCTGCCCCCCACCCGTGCCCAGCGCCAAGCGCGGCCCCTCCTACACGTGGGCGGAGGAGGGCCTGCGATCCGTCTGGGGGAGGCCAGCGTTTCCGAGTCGAGCGCACCGAGCCTCGTTTCGTCCACTAGGGTAGCCGCCGGGCATCAGGGTCCCGGCCACGCGCGGAATGGGGCGGAGCAAGCGCGGTTGCGGCGGGGGTTTCGCCTTCCAGTGCGGGTCCCCGGGCCGGAGCCGGCCGCGTCGGGCAAATGGGCAGAGGCCTGCAGAGGGTCATGCCTGGGGGTGCCGTGCCGCCCGAGCCCGGCCCCGGCCCCCGTCGGGCCCCAAGGACAGGGCGCTGCGCTCGGAGCTCTCGGGAGTTTACGGCAAACGTTGGCGGCTCCGCCAGGACCGTCATCCGTGGGCCCGGGCCGCGCGCGGCCGCCTTCGATCCCAAAGCCCAGGGCCCACCCCCCACCTCCCACCAGCGCAGCCACGGACCTGGGCGGAAGGCTCGCCACACCCCTTTTCCCCCTCCTGCCCCGCCCGGTCCCGGGCCGCAGGTGTCGCGAGACCTTCGTCCGTCAGCCAGCCTCGGGCCCGGCGGCCGGAGCGCGCACGCAGGCCGGCGCCGGGCACGCAGGGGACGCACGGCCGGCGGGGCTGGCGCTCCCGGCGCTCTCCGCCGTCCGTCTCCCCGCCCCGGTCGCGCAGTCTCGCGAGACTTGGGAGTAAACAGCCCCGAATGGAGATGCGAGGCGTGTTCGCCGCGGAGGCGCCGTTATCCCGGGCCCGCAGGACCCGAGCCTGAGGCGGCCGCAGGTAGGTTCGGTGGCGGCTCGCTGCCCGGAGCGCCGCTCCCCGACCCGCCGGCCTGTGCAGCCCCCCGCGCACCCGAGGCTGAGGGTGTGCGCCGGCGGCGGCCGGGGCCTCCCTGCGCCCCTGGACCCTCCGGGAGCCGCACCGGAGCGCGGGGCGGGGGACGGGACGTTTTCCCGCACCCGCGACAGCCGGTGCGGGGCCCTGTCTCCGGGCTCTCGCGGGGTGCTAGCTTGCTCAGCCTCACCGTTTCCTCCCGTGAGATAAACTTGAGCGCAGTGAAGCCGCGCGCCCGGCGCACCCACGGTTCCGGGCCGGCTCCCGCAGGGGCCGCGATCACGTTTCCAGCGACCTCGGTTCTTCGCGAGCCCGGGTCTGAGCTCACTGCCCAGCGTGCCGATTTTCAGGAGTGCAGTGCGGGAAGCTGCTGGGCAAGGTGGGCCCGAGAGACTCCTGCCTTGCCCTGTCATGTCTTTGCTCCCCACGACCGGGATAGTGTATGACAGATTTTCCACATCATTTTTATTAAGATGCTTACCCTTCGTTTTGGTGAGAGCCCCTGGGAATGGTGGCCAGTTTGTCTGTGCAAATTAAGTTAAATACTTTAGGTTCTGAGCGACGCTTCCAAGTGAAGCAGAGTGGCTGGGATCGCAGAGCTGAACTCCGTAGAATCTGTCTTCCTGGGGCCCTTCATTAGCCTCAGCTGTGCTGTAAGCAGCCCACCTGCAGGGTCTCCGTTTGCATTTGTCTCGGAGTGAGGAGCTTGCGCAACTGATTCTTGCCATTTTTTTTTTTTTTTTAATTTACAGCACACGTTCTCTCACTATTTTATAATTAAAATTTTTTTTTAAATTAACATATAATGTATTATTAGCCCCAGGGGTACTGTCTGTGAATCACCAGGTTTACAAACTTCACAGCACTCACCATAGCACATACCTTCCCCAGTGTCCATAACCCCACTCTCTCTCTATTTTAAGTGGGAGCTTTGTTCAGGTCAAATTTACATACCATAAAATTCACCTCTTTTAAGTGTACTTATTCAGTGACCGCCCTCCAACCCCCCCCCCCCCCCGACCCCTGCATAAATGCCGGAGTTGTGCGGTCCTCACCACAACGCACTTTTAGAACATTTTCGTCACCCCTGAAAGATCCCGGTGCCCGTGTTCAGTCACTACCCATTTCTGACCCTAGCCCCAGGTAATCACTAATCTGCTCTCTAACTCCCTGGACTTGTCTCTCTTGAATATTTCACTGAGGTGGGATCATCTGTGGCCTTTGTGTCTGGGAGTGGCCTCAGTCAGTGGGACTCGTGCCCGTTAGGCCTCTGCATTGCACTCCGCGTGCATCTCTCATATTCAAGAGGTGGTTGTATCCGTGAAAAAAGAGAAATTCTCATTTAGTGCTTGCAGAACCTTCGAAACACCTGGGGCCCCGTGGGATCAAGCTGGAGCTCTTCTGGTTAAGTTTTTAGCATTCCCTTCAAATTCACATGTTGTTTGATTCTGTCTTCTATCATTCTCAGGGTGGATAGTTACTGCTCTGTCCTGCCCACTGCCTCTTCGGTGTGGCAGCCACAGTTAAGCGTCACAGATGGAATAACAGAAGCTAGGAGGGGGATCACGCAGGTGAACTGCGCCTGGGCTTCCACCTGTGTCCCGTGTGGGGTTTTTAGGGGGAGATTTGCAACTGCCTCTTTGCACCAGGAGAGAGTTGAGATACTATTTGTATTTCATTGGAAAAACGACAACTCTCCAACCCTTCGTGATCTGAAATCTTAATTAGGGATGGGAAGCTAGACCTTGCATTTGGTGGTTGGGTGGGGTGCTTGGTATCCTTCAGCATCTCGCCTGAGACAGGCCAAGGAGGTGGTAAAAACAGGTCGATTTTTCCTCCTCCGTGGCCTAATCAGTTTTGACATGCTGCAGAGATCTGGATTACCTGGAGTTACTAATCCTGATGGTGTCTTTGCTTTAGGAAATGAGTTTCAAGTAAAATGAGAGTACTGGCTTTGGAGGTGCCTGCCTCCTGCGGCTCGCTAGTACTGGATGACTGAAGGATCCGCAGAATAAGGAGATGGGCTCAGCACCTGTGGAAGAATAAAGGACAGTGTAGACAAGCACCTCTTCATCCTGGCATTGTTGACTCTTTGGGCCAAATTGCTTGTTTTGTCCCCTTACGAAAGCTAATGGACAGAATGTGCCAGAAGGAATGGTTCAGTCAGCCTGAAGAACACACCTTTATTTCAAGATAGTGCTGTCTGGCATCGTTTGAATGTTAGCTGGTTAAATAATGGTAGTACAGCCAAGGACGCAGTTAGTTATGAAAGTGGTACTTCTACAGCCAAAGTTGAACTGAGCTGAATACTACTCTTTTGTGGCCTAAACACAATTCCGTTTTCTCTGGAGCTATTTCAGTAAAGGTTCATTAGAAAAAGCTGGTGTGTCTGCGTAACTAGATGACTGTCAGGTGATACCAGTGATTTCCTCTGCCCTGAATTGTGTTCTTATGTGCAAAGAAATGATTTCAGATATACTTTAGCCATACCCAGAATTATAATCTGAGTGATGCTCTTTTGTAATGCAAAGTTGAAGCACCTGAGCTGCAGGGAATGTTAGCTGTCAGACCAGTGGTTTGCCCAGGTAACACATTTCCTCTCCTTGGTCTCGTTTTTGCTCATAGCTCGTTAAATCATCTTCCTGGCATGTATTGTTCGAACTGTTTATTTTCCATTTAGTATTTGATGTCAAATATGTTTTGGATTACACCTGTCTTAGAGGCATACTTACTAACAGAAAATCCATAATTGTGCAAATACCATCTTACAGGGCGTACCTTTGTTTGGAAAGATCACCAGGTCACCTACGTAAAGAATTTATAGGAATTAAATCCAGTAAACCGTGGATCCAGTAACAGCTCTAAGCATGCCCTCTGAGTAGGTGATACAGCCCATGATAAGCCTGTTCAGAATGAATGAGCAAAAAGCTTGGCCTGGAGCTCTAGGGTAGACACAGACAGATTTTTTAACACAACTCCTAGGAAATGGATCCCTTTTAAGCTCTGTGTGTATAGATAAAACCAAATCTTTGGGTGCCTGGCTGGCTCAGTTAGTGGAGGGTGTGACTCACTCTCAGGGTCATGAATTTGAGCCCCATGTTAGGCATCTTAGAGATTACTTAAAGATAAACAATTTATAAAAAAAAAACACCTAACCTTTATTTTGAATCTCTGTGCTGCTGACTTAACCAGAAAATTTGTTTTTCTATAAAATTTATTTTAAAAGCTTTAGTAAAGTACCTAAGTAGTTATTTTACCTAATTATGGAAGTGTAACAGCCTCTTTGTAAAATTGTAAATACTAGAACTAAGACCCTGACTCCTTGGACTGCTGGCATGGACAGGGAGGACCATGTTACCCTGTGGCAGAGATCTTCTCCTGTTCCTTTTCTCCTGTGCATATAGATACATTATTTAAAAATAGAAATTTGGGTCATTGTGAGCTGTTTTACTTAATATTGCATTACCCTTCCCCCATATTCTTTGGGAAGTATATTCGAGACCTGTGGCTGTGCTAACAAATTTCTACAAACTTTGTGTTTTAAAACAACACCAGTTTATTATCTTACGGTTCTGGAGGTCAGTTGTCCACAATCAGTGTCGCTGGGCTGATGTTAGGGTGTCGGGAGGGCTTCAGTCCTTCTGGAGGCTCCAGGAGAGATTGTTTCCTTCCCTTTTTGGGTTTCTAGGGGCACCTGCGGTCCTTAGCTCCTGGCCTCTTCCTACCTCAGCCTCCGGTTTCCATCATCTCTTCTGCTGTCGGCGGAAAAGTAGCTTATAAAGACTCTTGCAATTACATTGGTCCTGCTTGGATAATCCAGAATGCACTTCCTGTTTTAAGATCCTTAGTTTAATCATACGTGCAGAATCTCTTTGGCCGTATAAAGTAACATTTATGGGTTCTGGGGATGAGGATGTGGATAGCTTTGGGGACCGTTATGCAGCCTTCCAGAGGAACGTCATTTGCCGTTGCTGCACAGCATTCCAGAGTCCCGGTTAATTAATCAGTTAGCTGGTCTCCTGTTGCACATTTGGATACTCTCTAGCTTTTCCTGGTTGTAATCTTTGAGTGTAAATCATTGTATGCTTTCAGATTCACACTTCTGTGGAATGAATTTCTAGGGGAGATTTTATTTAGTTTTATTCTTTAAAAAAATTTTTTTAAAAGATTTTATTTATTTATTTGACAGATCACAAGCAGGCGGAGAGGCAGGCAGAGAGAAAGGGGGAAGCAGGCTCCCCCCCGCTGAGCAGAGAGTCCGACAGGGGGCTCGATCCCAGGACCCCAAGATCATGACCTGAGCCGAAGGCAGAGGTCCTACCCACTTAGCCACCCAGGCACCCCTTTTAAAAAGATTTTAAAGAGAGAGTATGTGCATGCGTGCACTTTTGAGCTGAGGGGGGGAGCAGAGGGAGACGGAGAGAGTATCAAGCAGACTTGGCCTGAGTGCGGAGCCCCACGCAGAGCTTGGTCCTGTGACCCTGAGATCTGGACCAGCATTGAAACCAAGAGTCGGACACTCAACCAAGTGTGCCACCAGAGCGCCTTTGCAGGGGAGGTTTTAGAAAAGCAGGGTAACCTACCTTCTAAGAGGGTGGCCTCCATGCCAGGCTAGTCGAGTTCCAGCCTGGCTTTCCCACTCACTGCCACTTGGCTCTAGGCACAGTGATGAGCCACTGTGGGCGCCTCCGTGCTCTCATCTGGAAGCGGGGGGTTAGTAACAGGTTGTGAGGGTTGCTTAGGATAGTGTCTGCTGCAGAATAAATGCACTGTGAGTTAAGTTTTTTTTGTTTTTGTTTTTTTTTAAAGATTTTTTTTTTTTTTAATTTATTTGACAGAGAGAGATCACAAGCAGTCAGAGAGGCAGGCAGAGAGAGAGGAGGAAGCAGGCTCCCTGCTGAGCAGAGAGCCCGATGCAGGGCTCGATCCCAGGACCCTGAGACCAC